GTTATGCAGTTACTCATTGAACATTGATGTCACCACAGTTGCTGTCATCAATTACCATATTGTGACATCTATTACTGATTTTAACTCTTTGCATTTCAGAAACTCCCGTTTGGGACGGGAAAGGACAATCAAGATTGGCGTTGCCATTTAAAATTTTTAATGTTGGAGTCCGTCCTTCCATATATGAAATCTTGGTTAGTAAAGTTAGTTGTTACTCCAAAAATAGAATTATCAATAACAGCTATCCTGCAAAAATAGATGCTATATTAGGCGCTAATAACCTGAAGCCCCGTGACTTACAAGTATGCCTTAAGCAAAATGATTTCAGTTTACTCAAGATTAAAAAATTGATTCTTGAACATACCGGTGATATAGCGTTTGCTTCTTTGTGATTGGGGAAGACCATCAAAATGGGTAAAGTCCATATTAAGGTGGCCCAGTGCACACACAAAGCCCACCTCTCTAATGAACTTTCGCGTTTCAGCCTAGAAAAATAACTTTTGATTTTGGGATCCTAGGTGGTCCTATTCCTTATCTCATTTCCTTAAAGTATCTTATGCTTCAAGTTCTTATCACTCGCAATTGTTTCAAATGCACTTTTATGTATGTGTAGAATTTTTATAAATAAAGTTATACAATAAAATCTCTCTATAGTGATACTTTATATATGAATAAACTCTACATAGTCATAAAAAATTATATTCCCAATTTGGGATAGTTATAAATAAGAATAAACTCTACATTGTAATAAGTTATAATTTTTTTAATTCCTGTCTTAAGGAAAGTTGTCTCTACATAGTAATAATTATTTGTATATTGCAAAAAAAAAAATATATATGCTATGTTACATTAAAGGTTTATGATGAAATAAAATATTTATCTAAAGTTGTTTGAGACAATAATTTATGCTTTACAGTTGTTACCAAATCTTCTAACTTGCAGGTATGTAATAACTTGCTAGCATGGACACCTTTTGTTGAAGCCAAAATATTTCTAGCTTCTCATCTTTAGAGCTTCATGGCACAAAATTTTTGCATTTCCATACTATCATCCTCAGGATTATTTCCTTTATCTTTTTGTCTAATTACAGCAATGATTTCTTCTTCAATTAAAGCATATACGACTTATTGCTCATTTGGATGATCGAGGAAGACATTAATATCCATTTGATTAGTGTAATGAAGTTGTCGAATTTGATCACTCAATCTTGCAATGACTCTTCTATTTTTCTCATCTACTTCATTTGTAACTTGCAATTCATCAATATCGGGGTCCTAATTTTGCAATGCTTAAAACAATTGATAATTGTCTGTGACTTCACATCAATTGACCATGCAGCAACTGCATTTACAATTCCATCAAGGATACTTATCTTTTCTGGTTCCAATACATGATCTTCTATCTGTTTCAAAAGGAAGCGATTAAAGCGCTACTGATAATAACCTTTGAAATTTCTAATAAAGCCTGCATCACATGGCTGGATTTTGGAATTGCTAACTAGTGGTAGGAACAGAACAGTTGTGTGATGAAGTGGGAGGAGATTCTCCTTTTTGCCATGTACGGTACAATTATCCAATATAAGCAAGACATTTCTATCCAAACGGCTATCAAACCACTTAAGCCATTCCATAAAAAACAAAGATGTCATCCATACATTTGAATTCGCTCGATACTTGCAATTTAGATTATCACGGTTAACATTATTAAAGCATCTTGGATTAAGAAACTTACCGATGACCCAAAGTGGAAGTTTGTCAGAGCCATCTCCATTGCAACAAATAACAGTTGTAATCCTCTCTTTGTTTTGCTTTCGGCTCTCTAACTGCTTTGTTGCAAGAGAGTTATTGGCTTGCATTCGATAAAATAAGCCAGTTTCATCCATTTTATAAATGTCCTTCCAAGCCCATTTGTCTAATTCCTCTCTTATTGATGGCAAACTAGCTTCAATTTTCTCCATATTAACTTAACCACTTTCCCCAAAATGACAAAAGGAATGAATTGCATGTCGTTGCTTGAACTTTTCCAACCATCCATTTGAAAATTCAAACGAGATAGCTTCGGGATAGAGTTTCCTTAGAAAAATGTTTCCCTTCTCTTTTAACAATTCACCATTCATATTGACATCATGTTGATGGCATACAAACCATTCATAGAGGGCAGACTCCATTGCTGGGTACTTTACCATCTTTGAACATTTTGTGTTTGGGTTCAACAATCCTTCTTCTTGAAGGAGGTGAGCTGATCGTTTGAGTGTCTTAGATATTGCTGCTTGTGATACCTTAAGACTATGAGTATCTTCTAATCACTTCACAAGATCTTTCTGCTTCTAACTAGGGTTTGATTCTTTCATTTTGCACAACTCAACACGAATACTTTTAGTCAATTGAGTTCGTGTATTAACTTTGGGTGGCGTGATTGATTTGCTAGAGGAAGAAGAAAGGTATCACTTGAATTGGTGGAAGATTTTATTGAAAACTTGATTGAATAAGTTGAAACATAACAACCCTATTTATAGCAGGCTAATCATAATTCTACTAGGATAAGTAAATAAGAAATCCTAATACTACTACTAAAACAATGAATTGAAATCCTACTAATACTAAAACATGAATTGAAATCCTAGTACTATCAAAACATGAATTTTAAAATAGGAAATCAAGTAATATTAAAAGTAAATAGGAAATCCTAATACTACCCAAACATAAATTATAAAATAAGAAACAAATGATATTAAAAGTAAATAAGAAATCGTAATACTACTAAAACAATTAATTGAAGTCCTAATACGTACTACTAAAACATGAATTATAAAATAAGAAATCAAAATAGTTTTTTTGTAACTACACCTCTATTAAGTTATAGCCTCCTTATAGTAATAAATTAGTTTGATCCCAATATTATGAATATAGAGAGGTTTTATTGTAATAATTATAAAAGCACTATCTATTTATTTACTTACCAATTATAAAATAACTGTTGAGGGATGTTTTCATGAATTCTTATTTTATTTTATTGCAAGTTTGTTGAATGGATTTGTCAAAAGGGTGAACTAGACATATCTTTCTTTCCTCATAAGAACAAGATGGCTTTTTTTTTTTTTTTTTTTTTTTTTTTTTTTTTCACTGGTTTTGAAAGGTTTTTAATTAGACTGGTTTTGAGGTATTATAAAATTATTACTTGCTAGATTTTTTATGCACTGATTTTGACTAGCTCAAAAATCCTCTAGAATTAGTGTAATGTATTTTTTAGGGGTTTATAAAACATTCCAAAATAGGGTGTTTTGATTAGTTTTAAAATTTTATTCTACAAATACCATATCCATTACAAAACTATCCCAATTATATCCAATTTTTTTTTTTAACCATATTATGCGTGTCTCCAATCATATTAAATATAAATTAATTTTAAGTAATCATAAAAAAATATTATTAAAATCTCATTTCTAGATGCTTTATTGAAGAAGTAGGGCTATAATTTTTCAATTATTCTAGATGCAGTAAAGAATAGCGAAGAAGGATAAGAAAATTTTATCACATTTGAAATTATAAAGTACTAATAAATAGAAAACAAATAAAGAATCCTTACTTTGTAATTGAAAAAACAAAACTCCTAAATATTGGTTGAAGTTGGGGTATTTTTATGGGCATATATGTAAATTTATTATTTTAAAAAGCTATCAGAACCGCTAGAAAATAAACTCTTAAGCACATGTTGGGTGTTTTAAAAACTGCTACTAAAAACTCATTAAAACTGTTATGATGATTTACCTTCATAACTGTTACCATGAAACTCCTAAGAAGACCTTTAAAGTAAGCAAGACCTTTCCATTTCCTTTTCCACTGCAAAACAAAATTATTGCATTTCTGTTTTAACAAATACTTAACTGATTGTGTTGGAATTCAAACGAACTTAAATAATGTATTTTTCTAATAACCCAATTAAAAACTATTACTCTTAGCTATATTTTTGGGTCATTGTATAACATTGGAAATATAAATATATATACGCGGAATTATTGTAAAATAGTAACATTGGAGAATCTAATATTTTATTATTGCAAAGTTTTAGGTTATTCAAGATATTGTAAATGGCTGCACAATAATGAAGAATTTTGATTAAAGCTTAATTAAAAAATCTTAAAAATAAATAAATAATTTTTAAAAAGGACTATCAAGTAGACATTTCTGGTAACTAGTAACTACTGACGTTTTACACCAGCTTAATCATTTCAAACAACCAATGGGTCAAATAAAACATTTACACCACTCATTACATTATTTTCATTACACTATCACTATTTTACTAATAATTATTTTATTATAATATTAAAAATTTAAAATAATTAAAAATTTATGTAGATGTGAGATATATCACATTATGATATAATAAAAATAGTATAATATAATAAAAATAGTATAATAGATGATGTAAATGCAATATTACTCCAAATAAAATAGGCTCTCGTTGACGAACCGCAAAACTAGCACTTTAATATCCCTCGTGAGGCTTCACCCAAAGATTACCAGCCTCCACTTCTATAAAACCGCCACGTACCAGTCTCCACTGCCATGCTGCCGAAAAGCCATCCGCTTTCCTTACTTGTCCGTACTAAGGTGACCGGATAAAGACGGTAGTCTGCTGTAAGCCACATCATAGAAGGGCCCACGAGTCACAGCTGGAGGCGCTTTTACGGACTTAACCTCACTGTATGGAAACTTGTGGCGGAGATTTGAAGATGCAACAACGGGTGAAAGCAAAAAATATAATAGGAAAAGTGCACGGGTAAGGTTTAAGTTAATTAGCCACTATGTTTTCGCCACTTGGCATGATCCAGTGATCCTTCCTCTCCATCTCTCCAGTGACCCCTTCATTCTTTTGTAGCCTCAAATAAAATTTAGCGAATTTTTTAGAAAAAAAAATCCACAAGAAATTATAGTGGCTGAGATTGCTCCTAAGTTTCCCAACTTGTGTGGTTTTTGGACTTTCAGGTCTCAGTTCTCACAACACACGTCTTTCACTTCCGCTTCTTTTCTCTTGAGAATTTTAATTAGTGTTTCTTTTGCAGTGCTCTGATTAAAGTGTTTTCGATTCAGATCCACCATTGCAGCCAACGATGAGTTCTCCGACTAGTTGCCGGTGAATTGGGTATATGGTTGATCACAAACTTTATTGATGCTTTCAGACTGCACATACTCCATGGCTTTCACCAAAGGTACTCTTTACATATTTCTGTACTTTTTACTTCAGTTACTTCTCCGTTTGGTCGCCGAGAATATTCACTATAAAGGAACAAAAATTAATTTTCGAGAACTTTTTTTTCGATCAATAATTGATGATGAGATTTGAAGTTTATTTTTTCATTTCCTTACTTAGTACTTTTTCTCGGCAACCAAAGAGAGAGGGTTAAAGTATTATGCGAAGGAATGTATTTTGTGCTGGCATGTGGTAAGTAGATGCAGAAATGGCTGTTTAATTACTGATTCGAGTTTTTTTTTTCTCTGTTTTCTTTTTCGTATTTTAAAGGTTTTGGCGTCTACGGGTTCGTTTTGGTGAGGATTCTGAATAAAGGAATTTTCTTTTAAGTTCTTTCGGAGAAGCGTCTCTGTCTCTCTGTGTTCTGGTGGATTCCAAAAATTTCTCAAATAATTTAGCATTAATTAATTTTGTACTTTGTGTAATTATATGCTACTTTCCAATCTTCAGTGAATGTGAATTGGAATGCTTATTGTGCTGAAACCAAACAAAGACGGATCTCTATCGATTGCTGTTGCTTTTTTCTCTTTTGCAGTAGTGTTGCCTTATCAGGTTTTGTTTACGTCTTCAACAACGGCTTTACTATTTGATATTGAAAGAAAAAATGAAGGGAGGTTTTTGTTTTATCCGTTGCTGGTTAGAGAGGATTTGAAGCAGCGCTAGCTGCCGAGGTCTGGTGATGGACACCTATTCCTCTGGAGAAGACTTGATTATTAAGGTCACATCAAATATGAACTTTCACAGTTTCTTTTTTTTTTTTTTTTTTTTTTAAGATATTGAAATAACTATTAAGATTTATATATGAACTGTGAATTTTGTTAAATGATAGACGAGGAAGCCTTATACAATCACTAAGCAACGAGAGCGATGGACAGAGGAGGAGCATAATAGGTTTCTAGAAGCCCTGAAGCTCTATGGACGCGTTGGCAACGCATAGAAGGTTAATCTTTTCTTTTAACTTTTAATTTTCTTTTTAATTTTTGGTTTCTGCACAGGTATATTATTGATGTGAGTGCCAATATACATAGATTATGTCTAGATGTGTGGTTCTAGAATTGTAGATCTGAATCTGCTGGATGTATCTAGTAGGAATGACAAATTCTATTATTTGTATGTTCACTTAATTAGAGATCTGTCTCTCCTCTTGTTTCTGTGTTTTACATGGTGGTGTGCAGAACATTAGGAACAAAGACTGCTGTGCAGATCAGAAGTCATGCTCAAAAGTTCTTTTAAGGTCAATCGGTACCTTATTGCCTTTCTCTACATCAAACGTACATATCTGCTTCTAATTGCTTGGTTGTAGATTTAACTGCTTCAGAGATTTTCAATCATCAATTTGCATTCTTAGGTTTGTTTAGTTTCCTTCTGATTACTTACTTTTCATACCATAGAACATATAATCCATGAATCAGTAAACAATTTGCTGTCTTCATTGTTCAGTAGACAAACTCTCGCTGGTATTTGCATGTGGCTGTAATTATCTGTGTTCAAAGACAATCTTACATGCATATTGCATATATGTCATATTATGCATAATGGTTTTACATACAAATAATTTGATCTTGTCTGTGCTGAATGCTTTGTCCATTGACTTTATTAGATGAGTAATGTTACACTTATATCACTCTTTTACACAATTTTCATTACATCATGATGTGGCATATGTCACAACCACACAAATTTTTAATTATTTTGAATTTTTAATATTATAATAGAATTTATGTGGTTGTAGCGTATGCCACATCATGATGTTTACAAAATGGTGTAAAAAAATGGTGTAAGTGTAGCATTACTCTTATCAGATTTGTGCGGCATAGTGTCGAATAATTAGAAAACTTCCTTTTTGAGGAAGGTGGACTGAGTTGATTCAGGTTACCTAGGTTCCTATGAATTTTCTCCTTGATCTTGAAGAATATTCCTGTTTAATATACCGTGTGAGTGAAATTTAAGTGGCCAGGGAAAAATGAATAAAAGAATATTGCAGTAGATTCTGGATAAGACATTATGCTTTTATTTTTCTTCTCCACTGGAAGCTTAGAGGGCAGAATAAAAAGATGATAACGTTTGGAATTTCATAGCCTAACAATTTTCCTAAATCATCTAAGCGAATGACCTGGCATTCAAGTGCATTCCCATTCAATCAACGCACTCTAGTCCATTTGTTTTGCAAACAGCACTAAGGAACCTTCCCTAATCAAGGAATTTAAGATTTCATCAATGCTTCCTCATCACACTTTAATTTGGACTCATCCTCTTTGCATAGTTCAGGAAATAGAAAAACTGAAGACATTTCTGACCCCACTGACAAATGATCTAATTTTCATTTTAGATATGATGAACCTAGCATCAAAACCCTAAAAGAATACTATGACTTGAAAGTATAAGAGTACATTTAGGTTGAGGACATTCTAAGAAGGCAATGTGGGATTCCACAACATTTGTTTACACTTCATTATTGTGACTCGAAAGTATAACTCATCCACCATGAGCACAACTCAAGATCTAGCTTATCTTATAGAGATGGGATCTTGTGGTGTCTCATCTTGTGTGAGGTAGGGAACCACAATAGCTTATAGGGAATTAAAGACAAGGCTAAAGCCTTCTCCTTGAATTTGTCCTTCCTGTTTATGGTTCAGTCACATGTCGAAATGAAGCAAGACTGGCTGTCGTATGGTTCTTTATTCTGAAATTGCTCATTTAGATGTTCTCATTTTGCTGTCATCCTGTAGCTTTCTGCAATGGCATTTTAGGCTCTGCTTTGGTAATATTCTAGTAAGAAATAGTTAGTTGTTTAAATATATTGAAAAAAAAACTCATTTAGAATTTTTTTAAAAGAGTATATGTTGATATTGTTGGATACATGAACATCATTGATGTTATGAATTAGAATATATTCTCCTGTGTATTTATGATATGTGTGGCTTTGATTTAGGTGATGATGTACAGACATTAGTTTGCTAAAACATTTAAGTCAATTCGTCTATACTCTCTTTTTAAATTGGAGAGCAATCAAGTTTTGTTTGGTTTGAATATTAGTACAGAGAATTTTTCAAGTGAAACCTTATCTTTTGCTTTTTATGGAAAACTGAACATTTTATGGCAAGGTCCTGGTTTATCCCTCTCTCACAATTACAGATTAAGATTTTGAGTTTTAGTACAAAAGGGGGCTGGTTTGGGCTAGCAATTATGATTGCTAGCCCAAACCAGCTCCCTTTTTTTGTTTTATTTACACGATGGAATGTGCAACTATAATTTAAATTCACTAAGTTATTCATATTTAGTTTTCACAAAAAATTAATAATGCAACCATGTTTCACAAGCGGTTTATAAACAAGTAATGATCATATGCTAACAGTATTTTAAAGGAGTGAGAGAAAATGACACATCAGAGACCTCATTGAGACTACCTATGTAATTTAATATCGAGAAAAAAATGCATGGTTGAACTGATTATTTTGATGAAGAATTGCAATTTCAGGATTCCAAACTTTGTTGGCAAAGCTAAAAATAGGCATCTTCAATGAATTAGTATACCCAGGATACCCAAACCTAACCTCAATTGAGATCCTTCTCCTGCTAGGATAACCGATAGTATTAAATTCAGATTACCAGCAAAACTGATACTTCTTGCAAAAGAGACCACTGAGGCAGCCCAAACCTTTGCTAGATTGGTTACATGGAGTGATCTGTCTTAACCTTTAAGGGCTACCATAAAATGTAAGGGATCATCTCAATGCTCCAAGCTATATGGAGACTTTGAAAAAGCAAAAGCAAGATCATCATCAGCTTTTATCATGCAAGACCAAATTGTCTTCTTTGTTAACCTGTAACTTATTAACATATTATGCCAATTATAGCTAAGTTTTACATGCATCATCTTCTGCTTTGAGTGTTTTGTCATTTATAGAGAATGTTCATGAAGACAATAAGGTTCAGCTATCAGAGTTTGATTTTAGTTTTTAAAATTTTTGTTTGTGTTTAGAAAGATCAATACCATGGGGGATGTAGTTTATGGTGTGCTGTCTTGAATAATTATTGCATCTTGGGGCAGTTGATTAGAATAATTTTTCAGTTAGCCATTCAGTTATTCATGTTGGATGGTTGGACAGCAGTTTTTGTCGTGAAACAGAATTTGATGAACTTTCTTCTCTAATTAATGAGTACTGAAAATATTGTGCTTGCAGCTGGAGAAGGAGGCTCATTCCAAAGGAGTTCCAATAGGACAAGCTATTGACATTGACATTCCTCCTCCTCGCCCCAAAAGAAAACCACATAATCCTTATCCCCGGAAGACCTACACAGCTGCTTCCACATTGCAAGTTGGGACGAGGGATGTGAAAACTCCAAAGCCAGTTTCTTCTCTGCGTTGTAAACAACTACTGGACTTGGAAAAAGAACCAATTTCTGAGGTGAGTTTACTTGTTTTTCTCTTCACTTGCATTTTTTTTTTTTATTCACCTATTTTATTGCTTTTTGGATGATAAATTTAGATGTCCCCTTAATTGTCAGAAACTTGATGGAGATGAGAAGCTAACTAATACAAAAGAAAATCAGGATGACAATTGCTCAGAAGTCTTTACCCTACAACAAGAAGCTCACTGTTCCTCTGTTTCTTCAGTAAACAAAAACTCTATACCAAAACCACTGGGGCTCAGAAACTCATGCACTTTTAGGGATTTTGTTCCTGTGCTGAAAGAGGTAGCAAATCAGGATGAAACATATGAATCCCACGTCACAGTTGAACTTAAGGGAAATGAAAAGATTGATAAACCTGATGCCAAACAGGCTTTTCAGGACAATCGCACAAGTAAGGCATCGACCTTGGAAAACTCTAGCCGAGGACATGAGATAGTTCAAGGTGAGAAAACAAATGACTTTAAAGATGCATTGCAGACAGATGAGATGCAAGCTACACTTAACTACCCTAGGCATGTTTCTGTGCACATCTTAGATGAGAGCCTTGGAACAGGTACTCAATCTCCTTCAGATATGCCAATGCAAGAGTCCATATTTCACCCCACGGGAGAAGTTCATGTAAATCCTAATTTATTCACAAATTCAGCTGCATCTGCTACTAATGAACATCAGAGTAATGTTCCATCATCAACTCATCCATCATTTCCATCTTTTCATCCTCCCTTTACCCCGATTCACCAAAATCAAGATGACTATAGATCAATTCTCCACATCTCCTCCACCTTTTCAAATCTTGTTGTGTCTACTCTGTTACAAAACCCTGCAGCCCATGCTGCAGCAAGCTTTGCAGCAACATTTTGGCCTTATGCAAGTGTGGGAAATTTTGCAGATTCTCCTGCATGTCCACAGGGAGGCTTTCCATCTAGACAAATGAACTCTGCTCCAAGTATGGCAGCTGTAGCAGCTGCCACTGTAGCAGCCGCCACTGCATGGTGGGCAGCCCATGGACTGCTTCCCTTGTGTGCTCCTCTTCATGCTGCTTTTACCTGCCCTCCATCTACAACAGCAGTTCCATCAATGGATCCTGGTCAAGCTCCAGCAGCCAAAACAGAGAGAAAAGAGAATACTACTCCAAATCCTCCCTTGGATGATCATCAGCTGGAGCCAGAATATTCTGAGGCTTTGCAAGCTCAGCATTCAGCCTGTAAATCACCTGTTGTATCAACATCGGACTCTGAAGAGAGTGCAAGTGCAAAGCTTAATGCTGGATCAAAAGCTGCTGAACATGAGAAGGCTGCTGAAGAAAATGTGCTTAATGATTCAGACAAAACAAAGAACAGAAAACAAGTGGACCGCTCCTCGTGTGGTTCGAACACACCTTCTAGCAGTGAAGTTGAGACAGACGCACTTGAAAAGCATGAGAAAGGCAAAGAAGAATCAAAAGAAGAATCAAAAGAAGATGATCCAAACCAACCGGCCGCTGATTGTAGTACTCGTCGCACTAGAAGCAGCATCAACGTTAGCGATTCTTGGAAGGAAGTTTCTGAAGGGGTAAAATTTAAATGCTTGTTTATGAATAGATGTGTGATGTAATAGCAAATATTGTTTCAGCATTCTCACATTTACACATGGATTCAGGGACGGCTGGCATTTCAAGCACTCTTCTCCAGGGAGGTATTGCCACAAAGCTTTTCACCTCCATATGATATGAAGGACATGCCACAGAAGGATAACACAGAAGTAGATAAGCAAAATGGCAAAGATAAAGATGGAGGAGATGCATCAACTTTAGATCTGAACACCAAGACATGGGCTTCATGTTGTGGCGAACAAGAGATGGAGAATATTGCAATGTGTAGAGGCGAGAAGAATGGGGAGGAGGGGCTGCTGACATTTGCAATTGGATATGGAAAGCTGAAGAGTCGTCGAACAGGTTTTAAACCATACAAAAGGTGTTCAGTGGAGGCTAAGGAAAACAGACTAGTTAATTTGAGCAACCAAACTGAAGAAAAAGGCCCAAAGAGGATACGTTTGGAAGGAGAGGCCTCGAACTTAGAGATTTGATGTAAGCATGCAATTAAGCAAAGGAAACTTTTGTTACTTTGCATGTATTTCTAATTTTCCCCTTTATCTATTTTCCTTTGGTGTTTAATATCAGGTCGTGTAGGTGTGTGTACTATATTTGCTTTGCTACATTGGCTCATTTACTTTCTGGAACTCTTGCAACTATGTTTAAATCTCTTTTTAATAGACAGAGTCAGCCAAGACTCATTAAGTATTGAATGGGCCCTGATCTGCCTTCTTAGCCCCAAAGCTATGTCTTCTATTCTTATTTCTTACCCCCCAATACTTCTATTAGCCAGTGCCAGTGGACATCTGCTGACTAACTGATTATGGTGTTTTTGGTAATTACGACCTACTTACTGTCGACTATCGTAATTTTTCAGCTCGACATTTTCTGAAACAACCCCACCACCCCTCAAAAAAAAAAAAAAAAAAAAAAAGAATATGCTATTCACAGCCAACATTTACCATTCATTAGGAAACAAAATTTCATGGATATTTATATATACAACTGAAAAATGAAAAATATATGCACTTACTGAAGGAAAAAGGGGGGATTTTGAGAGGGATAATTTCTAGACATATTCACATTCTACCGCCTATAAAAAGAATAGAAAGTTTTGTTTATGCGTACTTGGTTTAGGTGGTCATATTGCTCTGAGCGGCGCCGTCTGTTATAAACATTCTCCATATACATTACATTATTTATAGTCAAGACTCGAGTTATTTCCTGGTCATTTCTTCATCAACAGCTATTAGTTTGTATCCCTCTCCTCGTCAAACCAAGATTTCAATTGCCTGTTGCATGACCATGATTTGCCCGAAATATGTTGGTAAGTAGAATTGTAAGAGAGGCTGGTGTTATGAACATAGCCTCACAGTCAATGTGTTACTTGATGACAAAATCGGGGGATTGTTCAAGAGTGAGTGGGCCTTGATATCATAAAGTTAGACTGTCGTGACTGCAATTTGTTAATGTAGCTTTGGATTCTCTTCTTATTAACATGATCTAGTATAAATGGAGGTTTTAGTTGCAGAGACATTGCTTCTCCCACAATGAATGAAAGCAGAAGCATTGCTTTAGAGTACAATGCTGCGGCACTCTCCTTGTTCTCCATGTACTCCTCAACCTAAAATGAGGCTTGTCTTTAAAAAGGATGACAGAGGATTCAAGATAAGAATAAACAGCAAGTATGAAAAAGTTTACTTACAGCACCATCAGTCCCGACAGAAAGAGCTTTTTGGTATATGATTTCCAAAGCATCAGGCATCTCAGCAGCAGCTGCAATAGTATTTGACAGATGTTTTTGAGTAAAATGCAAACTTAAGATTGCAAGGAGCAGGCAAGCATTGATAAATAGCCTAACCATCCATATCTTGAATATGACATGATAACTTCTCTGAACGATCCAATGCAACAACAAACCCTTGCTCTGCCCACATGCGAACAGAAATAGGGCTGCTAAAATCTATTTTGTCTTCTGAATTTGGAACCAAGACTTTGCCACCCTGAACAGGTGTCGATTCATCGGCGAGACTGCCACCTGGTAATTCACTCTGTGTAGAGGTCAGCCAGGAGCCACAGATTACAACAGCCTTCTTCCATATAGCCAAAACAACCAGCTCAACGGAAAATGATTCTGGAAAGAGTCCTGCAGTGTACTAAAAACAACAGCAAGCACAACTCTGATAAATTCAAAATGCACTAAGCGTGGCAGTGCATACATGATCCAGCTTGTATAAGAAACCTTTTAACACATGAAAAGAATGTTCAGAGACATTCATAAGCTACAGTATATTCTTCAGTCTTCAGCTAGTAATTATAGTACACAAAATGTATGGTAAATTACAGCACTAACATTTTTACAAATAAGACTAGTGAAATTCTTTTTCTTTTTTCCCTATTTAGTCCATTCTTGGCCAGAAAATAAAAACACACGCTATGAAAAACTAAACATCAAAAGTACCAGACAAGTTAACTGTTAAGCCATAACTTAAACCTCTGGAATACCATTTCATGATAAGCAACAAGAATGAGGTATAGAAAGCATCTGAGAAAGAAAAAGGGCCATCACCTTTTCTTGTGCCAGTTCCGTAAGAGCATGCACATACTGATGTAACAACTGGAGCCTAGTAGAAGGATGCAATATGGTCAGTCCTTGCAATTCTTTTAATATACTTGATCCACATGATGTTTCCAATGGAACAAACTGTGAAATTTCAGCAGCACCAGAACATCCAGCAGCCGACTCCTTTGTGTGCATAGCAACTGCTAAATGGTCATTTTTCTTTGGGCAGATAGAAACTCTGGTAGTGGAATTATCTTGCACAGATGTATCAAGGTAGAAAGAAAAAGCATCCACTGAAGCAATATGAGAGTTGACAAGAACATACTCTTTCTCAATGGACTCCATTAAATCTGCAACCGAATAGAAAGATGAAAAATTAAACTTAAGCTTAATTTGAGCCTCAACATGAACATCCTAAACCATGAAAGAAATCTTTAAATGGATCTGATGAACAATGGTCATCAATAGATTTCTTCATCCTATCAAATACAATTTTTGACATTAAAGTCATGAACACCTCTAGTGCTTGATGTGCTTCCATGATCTTTAGCTTTCAGTATCACTTTTTCACATAAAGAAGAACTAGCTGATTCTGGATTTCTGCTTGAGTCTGCAGAACACCCAGATTGTAAGGGAGGCCTCTCCTTGCAAGCAGAAGGGTTACACTGCTCAAACACTGGTTCTGTAGGTTGAACTGGAGAACCCAATTCAGCATCCTCTGTTTGCCTACAGATCATATACAATAAATATTCTAATTAGGTTGAATGACCTACCTGCTAAAGGATCAAAATAGAAAGGAATACAAAGGACAAAAAATACCTAATACCCAACATATACCATAACAAAATGTAAACTTTAAAAGGTTACCTCAGCTCTCCTATGAACTTGTGATTAAAGAACTCCTTGAATGTTATTCGCTCAACTGTCAAATAAAGTTTAGATTTAAATGAAGTTCTCTAGGAAAATAGAGCATGCAAGCTCTTCTAATGAATAGTTGATGCATAATGCAAATTCCCAAAATACCAGGGTTTTTGCGTAAAAGGCTTCCACAGAGATCCACACAATCTGGATGTAGTTCTCTTAAAGCATCTGGTGGAAACTGCAGCTCAGTGGATGCCAAAATATTCTGAAAAAGCTGTATGTAGAAGATAACCAGAATAAGCACAAAGCTGCTGTGAAAAACAAACGACTTGCAGATTTTTAGCCATCTTTGTTGATTTTTAGCTTTGCTAATGAAAGTAAAATCAGAAATTTCTTGTAACAAAAAATAATATGGTATCTTCCAAAGACCTGAAACTGAGTATTGCCAGTAAATGGTGGCTTTCCAGTCACCAGTTGGAACAATATTGCCCCAACACTCCATAAATCGGCCTGCACACACCAACATTAGCTTTGGAAAATTAAAAAAACTATTAAAAAAAATATGGTACTAAAGTTTATATAAGAGAGGGTAAGTGGATGTATTTCCATACCTTTGCATCATACTTTTGATTCTGAATAATCTCAGGAGCCATGTATAATGGTGAACCACATAGAGTGTCGGCCAGGTCATGGGGCGTCAACGACCTAGCACACAAATAAATATAGCAGATGACCAAGTGCAAAAACTAATTTTAGGAAATTGACATATCAGTGTTATATTTCAAATTTTAATACTTCATAAGTGACAATTTTACAAAATCAATCAACCAAAGAAATTTGCCAAAAAAACAATCAGGGCACTTGAAGCATTTACAGGATAATATGAAAGAACTTTTTTCCATGAGATACCCAACAGGTCAGTATGTCAAATATTTCTGAAAATAAAAAATTGATAAAGATCCTATTATATAACCACAGTATTAAGCATAATTCAAATTTGCTTTCTAATGGCATATACCTGAAGACCCAACAAGCCTGTGAGGCTCACTTGAATCCTGATAATCAAACATTAAGTCATTTAACAGAATAACAGAATATATAGTATCCCAGATAAGTTTTCATGGATCACGGTAGGAAGCCAGATAATACAATAAGGCCTTTTTGACCTGTGATAATTTGCAGGTCTGGATTCAATAATATTGATGGAGAACATTATAAAAACTCTTAAAAAGCATCAGAAAGCAACACGTATAAGCAAATACCATAGAAGTTCAATCGTCCATAGTGCTCAGCAGTAAATGTCATATCAATAAGGAAAAAGGGAGCAGAAATCAGAATTGCTAGACATGCTATGAATTAGAAAGAAAAGAAAAAGAATTACCTTGCAAAACCAAAATCCCCAATCTTCAATACCGGAGTAGCTTCATTAGTTGACAAGAGTAAGTTCTGTCAAGATTTAGCAGCAAGAATCACGAAGACATAAACTAGTAAATGTCCAATTTAGTATTTCAACCCAAGCGTAAAAGTGATTCTATTTGACCATGACATAAAACTCATATAAGATTAAATATATGCATAATCTATATATGAACCCTATAAATTCCAACAATGCTTGTATCATTCAAACGTATAAATCGACCACATTTGACCATAAAGTAATCTAGGAAAAGTCTAACTAGTGACATCAGAATTACACTTTGAGCATAAGACATAATACCTGTGGCTTCAAATCCCTATGAATGAGATGCTTTTCGTGAAGTACTTGCAATCCTGAAGCTGCACAAGATAACGCACAACTTAAACAGATAGCAAAACAGATAAACAATATTAAACACAAATCATGGGAGCTTGAATTTACCTAAACCTATTTAAAGTACACACTTTATAAACATAGCCACTGGCATAATCAGTAATAGTGGTTTAGTTGAATTCAAAGCAATATAAGGTTAAAGTACGAATTTACAGACACCCAGTTACTCAGTTAACGTTAATGGTAATTGAACATTGCCTAGACTTAAAAGTACAAGGTGAAGTTAGGAAATTTAACAGCCAAGAACATAAATACATATATGAATATACCCAATTGTCTCAGAAAATGCCTGGCAACATTCTCTGATACTTTGCCATGCCTATGAATATAAGCCGCAAGATCACCTCCATCACAGTATTCCAAAACCAAATAAATTCTCTCTTTAGTCTGCCAAAAACATTATAACATAAGCAACCAACATGATATAAACAAAAAAAAGAGTAATATTTATAATAAAAAGACCTCAATAGCTTCAAAGAAACGAATAATGTTGGGGTGATTGATGGTGCTGAGAATGGAAATTTCTTTGAGTAAATTTTCACCGACTTTTGGGCTAAGCAACTTTTTATCAATCTCTTTAACAGCAACTTCAGTACCCAACTGACGATGGGTGGCTTTCCAAACCACCGCGAAAGAACCCGACCCGATTCTCGGTCCCACTATGTACTCTCCTATTAATCGGACCTCTCTTGGATCCATCAAAAGTAACCACACAACACTCCTTGTCTTTTGTTTTGTTTCAGTTGTAAAACATCATCTTTTTTGTTGTATCGATAAGAGAATTGATGGTGATGATGAAGAAGAAGATATTTTTTGTGTTTTTTATTTTCTTTTCTCTTTTTTAAATTAATTTCTTCTTACACTTGCGTGTGCGTGTAAGAGAGTGTGTGTGGAAACGACGCCGATGTTAGCAGCGCAGTGAAGCACTTTTTGGAGAGAGAGGTCCGAGAGGACACTGTCGCTGAGTGGATTTGGATTTTGCATACCAAGACTCGGCTGACTTTTGTTTTTTTAATTAACAGTGTATATATATGGCAGACACGTGTCATTACTTATTTAACCTGATTTAAGTTTGTTATTTATTTATTCCTTTTCAAACTTAAAATATACATATAGATACAATGGCCTTAAGACTAAGTAGATGCAATAAATGTCATGATAATAATCTTATTCCTGCTAATAAAATATTTATCTAATCCCATTCCATCATATGGAATAATATATGATTGTTTAGGATTTGACAATATTTTAACATACATGAACCATGTAGTTGTATCATGTATGTTTGAACATAACTTAACATTTACATGTGTATATGGTTATTCCAAATGTCATGATTTCTGCAGGAACACCAACTTCTGTAGATGTGGATTTCATTTAGTACAAGATTTGTAACTTTTCCATGATGGACTCTTCCTCAATTCAAACTTTTTGACTTATTCTTACAATTGGACCCACTAATTAACCATCAATGATCCATGAATCTTCAATATGGGTTCTGGTGGGTGATGCAGGAAGCAGCAACGCGCACTCAGATCATACCAGTCCACAACTTATTGGGCCCGGACCACATGCTGATAGCCTGATATTGTTTTATTTACCACTTTCTTAGTCAATGTTTTAAAGATCGTGGCACGTAGCAAGCAAATTTTAGTATCCCAAAACAAAGATTAAAGCAGAACCGAGAAAAGTATACCCAAAATTTAGCACTAAAAACTATAATCACCAACGCATAAACACAGATGTCACCACCCAGTAACCCAAAAAGCCGCTAAGATACCCACCACGCGTGGCGTTCAAGGGCTTTGGAGCTTGAAATTCTGCACACACATTGTTTATAGTAAACTAAATATTTTTTTAAGATAACCTATAGATCTGACATTCCGTAATTCTCAAACTACATACATACATTATTACAATAAAATTTCTATTATCAATGCTCCAAACCCATTATACATTTGATTATTTTTATTATTGTAACGATGGTATTCATTTATTTATACTATAGAGAAAGAAAAGATAAATTGAAGTGCTAAACTCATAGGCCACGCCCCACAAAGCACACAATTCCATATGGTACGATATAAACGAGCTGTAACCCATTCCTGAGACCAATCGTCTCCTCTTCCCCAACTTCTATGGCTCCCTCCAATCCAATGTATCACCATTCTCACCCCCCGATATTGCCACGTGGCCTTCCGGGTCCTCCTTATTGTGGGTCTTATCTTGACATGGCACAACACTGCTCCGCTAACAAAAAGGCTATGAAAATGGAAGTATCCACATTTAACACTTTAAAACTCACTTCTCTTCTTCTTTTAAAACCTTTCCTTGAGATATATTCTCTACACACTGTATTTTGTTGAATATTTCTTCAGCAATGTTATCCCTGTATTTAACTTCCTTTATTCTCTTCTCACTTCTTCATCAATCAACTATCTCCTTTTCACTTCAAGAATCTCCACGGCAATGTCAACAAATACAATTCAATGAGAAATGTGGTAGCTTCAATATCTCTTTTCCATTTCACTTAAATAACTCTTCTTCAGTTTCTACTGCTTTTAAACTATCTTGCTTGAATTCAACTACCCTATACCTCAACATCGACACTCAAAGATATCGAGTGCTTGAATTCTTCACTGATGGAGTGCTAGTTGACTTTCCAGAGATCACTTCTTGTCGACAGTATAATGATTTAAATTCTTTTGGTTTCGGAAGAAATGAATACTTTGGTGTCTCGGTTGACAATGTTATTGGTTTATATGATTGTGAAGATTCTTCTTTGTGTAAAGCGGGTTGTGAAACAAATAACTTGCCTGGTTGTGATGGAAACAGTAAAGGGTCACTTGCCTGTTGTTATCCACTATCTGATCACAGTGTATGGCACGTCGGAGATGGCTTTTCTGTTTTTTCCAAGTTTGGGTGCAGGGGGTTTTCGTCTTGGGTTGTTTCACGTGGAACTAATACTGGGAAGCGTGGCGTAAAATTAGAGTGGGCTATTCCTAGAAACAAATCCGAAGGAGTTTGTGCTAGCAATGCAATTATAGTTAATGCCACAGCAGTTGAAGCAGGTGTCAGGTGCTTCTGTCAGGATGGTTTTGAAGGAGATGGATTTGCTAATGGAATTGGATGCATAAAATGTGAGTAGCTTTTCACTTTGTCTTCCTTGTGTTAAAGCTTTTTACCATCATTTTCATTTTAAGCATGATGAGAATTGACATAGTTGTCATTTGGGAAGCATTTGTTCAAGTGAGCTTTGAATTTCCTGGATTTTCGAGTTATAACATGTATGGTTTCTTTGTAATTGCATTCGCAAACAGGGCTCATGTTAGCATAGAAGATAAAGATATAAGATTGTTATCAAAGTTACTGATAGGACCCGATTCATTGAATTCATTATTAGTGCATCTCATTCACATCATTAAAGTAGCCCATGTCATTATTTTTTATGAGATGATCATCATGACAAAGGCAACTATGTAAACTACTGTTTAAAAAAAGTTGGGGAATTTTTCTAATTAATAACCTTCTTGTAGAAGCCCTCAGCTATCTGAAAGAGCCATAACTGAATCTTTTGCTTTCTCTGTTGTGTCATGTTCCTTAAAAGCAAACTTATGTTGGTTCATTTATAAACATAATCGTGTCCAAAAATAGTTTTAAGTGACAACATTGTCCCATGTATTGGAATTCTTTTTTTGATAGCCTGCATCAAGGATGGACGGGAAGCATAAGGCAAGGATTGTTTCGCCAAAAGAAAAAGTGAAAAAGAAGTTGTAATTGTAGCTGGTAAGTAATCACAAGATTGACCCTTCTGTGTTTGACATTTACATACGAATGGTGGTAATGAGATTTGTTTTGGTAACTGAAAATTTTATGCACAGAATTTCAGTTTCTGCTTAACTGGTAAAACATAATTGAAACTTCACTCTGATCCAGTTGCATTTATGACATTACATAAATGACATTGTTCTCTAAAATCATGTACCACGCCATGCTTAATACGCAGGTGTTCTTGCTCCAGCCTTCATCATTGCTTCCTTATTCGCTCTCTTTTGTCTACTGAAACGACCTGGTAAAGCCGGTGCATTTGACCATGAGCAGGGCCATTTTCACAGTACAATTTCATTCCGTAAAGCTTGTAGGACTCAGTTGTTTACTTACCACGAGCTAGATGAAGCAACCAAAGGATTTAAAGACGGTCAAAAACTTGTAGAAAGCACAAATGGTTCAATTTATGCTGGGGTCATAGGGGATGGTTCACATGTAGCTGTACACAAGGTACGATGTGAGAATGAAAGAGACCTTATACAAGTGTTGTCCCAGGTTGAGGTTTTGTCAGCAATTTTGCACAGGAATTTGGCCCGTCTCCTTGGATGCTGCATTGACTCTGAATACAGCCCACTAGTAGTCTATGAGTATCCTGCAAATGGTACCCTGGAGGAACATTTGCGCCAAAGCAGTGAACACAAAACTGGCCTAGATTGGTATAAGAGGTTAATCATTGCTGCTGAAACAGCTAGTGTTCTTGCATTCTTGCAGTATGAGATTTCTCCTCCCATTTTCCACCAATACCTCAAATCCGGTTACGTCTTTCTAGATGAAGATTATTCCGTTAAAATAGCTGGGTTTGGATTACTAAGCACCGGCCCTGAAATTGGGTCTAATTCATGCAACAATCATGAAGGTTTGCCAAGTCAACAAAATGATGTTTATGATTTTGGTGTATTACTTCTAGAGATAATTACAGGCTCCAAACATGTGGACCAGCCAACTGTAGCATTGCAAAAAATAAGAAGTGGGAAGCTAGAAGAAATTGTGGATCCAACTCTTTACTATCATGAGCAACCGATTTTTCGAAGAGAGCAGATAGAGATAGTTGCAGACCTTGCAACTAGGTGTTTGTTATTTGGTAGAGATGGCAAAATTGGTATGATTGATGTTGCCAAGGAGCTTATACACGTAACAAAAGAGAGCATTGATGGCGGTAGTAAGAGGGGACCTGCATTGGAAGAAACATTTTCGAATTCAAGTCTGCTGCAGATGATATCAATGTCTCCAGACTCTATATATGTGCCTTGAATTGCCGTTCTAGATATCAGCAACAAAGTGACTAGTCCATTTCACTTTCCTCAAACTTATTGCAGTGTCTGTGGTGTCGGCTAACATTTATGTGAAAAATTGTCGCATGGAGTGGATTAGCAACTTGTATTGAGTTATGTGCTGCAGCTAGTTCTATGTGGTGGAGATAAATTATTGTGAGGTTATGCATACTACAAGCAAGCTGTAGTTGTATTGTATGTATAGAATATGGATACTTGTTATTTTATTTCTATATCTTTGCAATGGCTTTAGTTTTTAAACAGAGTTATGTCTGTGTCATCAATTGTATGATAATGAATGTTACCTGATTCTGCTCCTGAAAAGATTTTGTTCTAGTTTGTTCACTATCCATCAACTATGAAAGGGGATTGAGTTAAAAATATTGAAAAGAAGTTGAATTTTTCTTGTAGAATTATTTGTTTCAATCAAAGATGCTTTCCCACTCAACTAGCACTTTGATAAACGAGTAGGATTAAAGAAAAAGGCCATCAAAAGATCCACAAACACCCCACCCACGCCACGGCACGCTTCAATCGTGAGTCGTATGACTAACACAAGAACTCCATTTTACACTTTTTTTTTATCCGTTCTTCCTCTTCTTCTGCTTCTTCTCCTCTTTTCCTTCTCTCTTTCTTCTTCTCTTCCATATTCTTCCTCTTTTTCTTCTCTTCTCTCCACCAAATTCTTCCTCCTCTTCTTCTTCTTCTCTTCTCTCCACCAACTGCTTCCCCTCGCCATCCCCACCAAAACCCTAACGCCATCTGGCCGCGCCGCTCACTGTCATCACCCAACAGTCTTCAGGGTTTACCTCAACAATTTTTTCTTTTTATTTTATAATACATAACTAAAAAAAGTTTATTGCTATAGGGTGAAAATGATTTGTGTACAAACATAATACTCGGATCTTTGATCAATAATCATGTTCATGTTGAGAACTATTCATTTCACTTTTTTTTTTTTTTTTTTTTAAGATGCACATGTCTTTAATATTTTTCTTGTGTTTTCTTTAATTTTCAGGAACAAACGAGGAGCAAACTGGTCGGGGTTTTGGTGGGGATGGCGAGGGGAAGCAACTAGTGGAGAGAAGAGAAGAAGAAAATGACAGAATCTAGAAGAGAGAAGAGAAGAAGAGAAAGAAAAGGAAAAGAGGAGAAGAAGAGGAAGAATGGGTAAAAAAAAAAAAAAAAAGTGTAAAATGGAGTTCCTGTGTCATAATGGAAGAGAGATGAAGAAGGAGGAGATGGGAAGGCAATCAATGCGGTGAGTTGAGAGAAATGAAGTTTTGACGCTTTTAACTTTAAACTTTTAAAATGAAAGAAAGGGTGTTAGATTAAGAGTGATGCTATGGGTACTAATGGATGAGTACTAATATGTGTACTAATTAAAGCATAGTACTCGTATTATGCGCATAGTACGAGTACTATGCTTTAATTAGTACACATATTAGTACTCATCCATTAGTACTCAAAGTATTATTCTTAGATTAAAGGCGGATATCTGAAATAAATGTAACACGGTATGAATTTGAGATTTCAGTAAACCTCGTGTGAGAACATGTTGTTTTTTGCTCTAATTATATTTATCCTTCAGGTTTGAGTTAAATAACTTGGGCCCAAGTCACTGTTTTTTTAATAAAATATTAAATTTTGTTTAATTAAATGAAAAACACTATGCTTACTCACCACTTGTACTAACTGCCATACAACCTTTGTTAAAATTTTACATGGTACCCGTACTATGAGTATAGTACCAGTACTATGCGTTATATTTATAAAGGATAGTAAGATGGTTAGTAAGATGGTGAGTAAGTATAGTATGGTTCTAATTAAATTAGAAGCCCACCCCCAATTGGAAACAACAATAGTGTTACTCTTATAAAGAAACCTATAAAAGAGGCATACAAAGTTAATCTCCACCCTTCATCATTTCTCTCTCTCTCTTTTTTTCGTTTTTCTTTTGTTTTTTCCTACCTTTGTAAGCTTTTTTGTAGGCTTCTTTGTAAGGATAGACTTATTGTTGGAAACAAAGCCATGACAATGACCCCACTACAAATCCATCACGGTGAAACAATTGGGAGCGAATCTCTCCTCTTCCTATCCACCGCAGTAGGCGGGGACGGCCAAATCTGTAAACGGGAAGGGTGGGGAGGGGATGATGTGGTTGCACGAGCGGTGTGGGAGGGTTAATTCTATTAACAAAAGAAAAAAAAAAAGGGTATGTTGGACATTGTAACGCTTTCTTAGATTACAGAGAATGGCATGAACCGCCATCCTAGGAAGGGGCATAGTCCATGAAGGACCTACATGTAATTACCGCCGTATCTTTATTTTGTGCTTACTAAACATTGTTATGAACACTTCTGGATTTTTGGATTCCCATGTCACATCAATACAAGCAAAAGAATAAAAAGCCTTTTTATTATTTTTTAATATAAATTTAAAAATTATTGAAACAGGTAACGTTATTAATTATCCTTAAAAAAAGGGGTAGATTAGCATCCTAAATGTGAATGTTATCAGTCATTCATAAACAAATACATTTAACGTTCATTCTTTTGCAAAAATTCATTTTTAGTGGCTACAATCATGATAGATATTGGTTTATATTTAATTAATTCATTAATTTTTTTTCTTTAGAGAATAGAGATGAAGTTTTTACAAAAAAAAATTGGACCAAGATAGTGGATGTGAAGTGGGTAGATAGATGCCTTCAATCCAACATCAAACACGAGGCATTGCCTGTAAAAATTGACCAACTCTTCTCTTTTTTCTACGCTATAAATAAGAACTTTAAGGCTGTAGCTTAGGATCTCTGCCTCTACATTATTCTCTATTTCTCCTACCCATACCAACATATTCTTCATCTCTTCTTCAACAATCAAGGTACGTTTAGCTGTTTCTTTCTTTAATCTTTATCACTATATGCTTTCTGGATCGAAAGCTTCAACTTTTAATCTTTATACGCAACTATCTTTTGTGGGTCATAGTGGATATATTACAACTTACTTCCGATATAAACAATTGGACTGGTTTGACTCTTATAGTTATGGCTGTTCATTATTTGTTTAATATGGGTGTATATTTATGCCTATGATTCCCCAGTAACAGTAACCAAAATCTGTTTACTTTATAAAATTACAACAAGAGATGTTATTTAAGTAATTAGCTATTCAATCCAGTGACTGCATAAATTTCGTTTCAATCCAGTTACTACTGTACGTAATATTACTTGTTTTCTGGTCAGAGATGAGTGAGGAAGCGAATCACAGTGAAGCTTCGGAGCGTCCAGCTCCCCGTCTGAATGAGAGGATCCTCTCATCTTTGTCAAGGAGATCAGTGGCAGCACATCCTTGGCATGATCTTGAGATTGGTAATTCCCATTATAGTCAACATATTTGAATGCTTAGAGTTTATTTGCATATTTGAAGAGTGGGAAAGGGAAACTAATCATGTTGCAACATTTTGCATGCAGGACCTGGCGCCCCCAACATTTTCAATTGTGTATGTCTTAATTTTAGCTTGTATAAAGTAAAGATGTATGAATAGTCTTGAGCTAAAACTTGTGAATGAATAGACTAGGAAAAGGATTTCAGCAATCTAGTTTCTAGCATGTTGGTACACACTAGCATATACATTCGTAATTTCCCCCATTTGAGAAGGGGGAAATATATAAAATAGGAAACTGGTTGGAGATTCAGATGTAAAAATATATAAGCAAATCATTCGTTTTATTCTTTCTCAATTTTGGTTTGTCTTTCTCAAAGCAATAGCTTCCAAGTAATCCAAGTTCTTCATATTGAGCAGTTTATTTCAATGTCAACCTGGATATTTCTTTCTTGTTGAATTCTTTCTTCAAATTGTCAGGTTGTGGAGATAACAAAGGGCAGTAAGGTTAAATATGAACTTGATAAGAAAACAGGACTGATTAAGGTGTGAACTGTTGTCTCTCTATGTGTTTCCTTTTTGTTTCTTTCATCTCTCCGTTTTTAGTTGTTCTTACTTTTCAATTGTATGCTCAGGTTGATCGGATTCTATATTCATCAGTGGTCTATCCTCATAACTATGGTTTCATCCCTCGCACCTTATGTGAAGATAACGATCCGATGGATGTTTTGGTTCTCATGCAGGTAACCTATATCAACTTATGTATCAAGGGAAACACCTTTTAATAGTTAATTTGATCTGGTGATGGAGGAACATAATGCTTTCTCAAATATAATGGAGATTATTGACTTTTTCGCAACTTTTACATCAAATTTGCTAAGATTATAGTTCATTCTTTGTGGTCCTAAGTTCTCAAGTTATTTGCCAATATCCCTTGTATCTAACTCCTGACTGTTTCTGTAATTCCTGGTGTCTGACTGTTGAAGAAATGACAGTACCCCAATTTCTATTCTGGCTGAGTCATTTCTCTTCTTTCACTTAAAGTTTTTCAATCTTTCTAGTTTCTTCATTTTAGTTTCAATGTTTTCAAGGGTCTTGCTAGGGAGATACCGAGTAAATTTCCAAATGACTATCATGTTCCTATTGGTTCCTTTTCTATTTTTTTTTTTTTTTTTTTTTTTTTTTGTGCGAACCTTTTTAGTCTATTAGTAATTATTGTTACCTTTTCTGAACTCCCATGCTTGACTTTAGCAAAGATATCCATAAATACTTTAGTAATGATTTGCACAGGAGCCAGTCCTTCCTGGATGCTTCTTGCGGGCCAGGGCCATTGGACTGATGCCTATGATTGATCAGGTGCTCTACTAAACTTTGAGAAAACTGAACTGTAAAAATTTCTTTCATAAGATTTAGGCAATAACTGCTTTCTTTTTTCTTATTCAGGGAGAGAAAGATGATAAGATCATTGCAGTATGTGCTGATGATCCAGAGTATAAGCACTACACTGACATCAAAGAGCTTGCTCCTCATCGCCTCTCTGAGATCCGTCGTTTCTTTGAAGATTGTATCCTTTCCAATCTTACATTTAAAAGTTAATTAAAGACTTCAATTAAATTTAGATTCGCTGGGGTTGTTTTACAATGTGAAGAATATTGATTTCTTACCACATTGCACAGACAAAAAAAATGAGAACAAGGAGGTTGCAGTTAACGACTTTTTACCTTCAAAAACTGCTGTTGAAGCCATCCAGTACTCGATGTAAGTCCATCTCACCTTTGATTGCTTATTCCCCAGTCTGATGGCATATCATTCCCTTTAGTATTACAAGGTTCCTGCAGTACTGAGGAACTCCCTTATACTTGGTGCAGGGACCTTTACGCTGAGTACATTCTGCATACTCTGAGGCGGTAGACACTTCTTTTTCTTTCTTTTTCTCCATCTCAATTTCTAATGAGGGAGAGAAATCAATCAATTGAATAAGTTGGTTTTATCAACAATATTCTGGATGATATGAACTCAAATGTATTGTGTTTTGTATTTTTGAGGGTTATTTTATGCTTGTTTATTTGAACTATTTTATGACAAGGTATGACAGATGAATATCTATCCACCTGAAATATTTGATTTGGATTTTCATTCAACTAGTGTACTGGATCATTCAATTTACTTGTTAATCTTATGAAATTCATGGCTTCAGGACCATCACCATCTCAGGTTTTTCATTCAATAATCACCCCGTCTGAAACCGGACTTGTGATTAAAGCATTTGAGTACAATAATGATCTGTTCAAATGAAACAAACAATTCAAGGTACTTACATTTGATTCCACAGCTACTCCAACAACTTTTGTAGCCTCTTAAACCAAATGAACAGAACTCTGAGATTGACGATCTTTAAACTTCTTCATGATCACGGAGTCCCCAGTCTGACAATAAAATTCAAGAAAATTATGTCACGAGGATCCCCACATAATATAATTCGACTAAAGAGAAAGATTCCGCATAGATTTTGTGGAACTATTGGAGAAGCAAACTCAAGACCAGGTCATCTGATGGCAAATATTTTCTGGACTCACTTGCAAACACTTCACCACTCACTTGTAAAAGTTATTCGGAAAGTTTCCGCCTGGATACATTTTTGGGGCTCTAGGGCCGTGATATGGTTGTAATTAAATTTGAGAAAGAAAAAAAAAAATTGTACTTAATTGTAGGATCACATGGAGACCAAAAATGAACAGACGCAAAGAAATGGAAATAAAAATGTTTATTCGGCAAAACAAGTGGAGCTGAATTGGGTATTTGGATGGCTACTTCCACGCAGCATTTCCTTGAAGAATTGACCAATCATTATCTTTCGTATAGCCAAGTATGTTCTTACCATTCAAACACAATAGTCTCCGCCTATATATTGATCCTTCTGATTTCCTTTCTTACATTCATACTCCCATATTTTCCCCACAACAATCAAGGTATTTTTACTGTTTCTTTCTTTGTTATCATAAATATACTTTTCTACATCCTTCATCCTTGATATTAATGCTTTCTGATAGCCCCTCAAACTCAAAGTAAACTCTTATTATTTTATTTAGTGGATATTGTTTATTAATCATATATTTTTGGGGCAGAAGATGAGTGAAGCAGCAGCTACAAACGAGACTCCACAACGTCAGGCTCCCCGTTTGAATGAGAGGATCCTTTCATCTTTGTCAAGGAGATCAGTTGCTGCACATCCTTGGCATGATCTTGAGCTTGGTAACACATATATTCATCACAAAAAAAGTTTATAATTTGCATAGGAGACGACTGTGGAAACTAATGTCGTTAAAATTTGCGTGCAGGACCTGGAGCTCCCCACATTTTCAACTGTGTCTGTCTTCAATTTTTACTTTATAAATAGCCTCAATTAGAACGTTAAAATAAATGAGAACACATTCAAATATTTCTTGTTAATAAACTTGGAGTTGAAGTATCTTCTTTGTTGAATCGTTCAGGTTGTTGAAATTACAAAGGGAAGTAAGGTGAAATATGAACTTGATAAGAAGACGGGACTCATCAAAGTATGAACAGTTAATGTATCTGTTCCAATTTTCTTGTTTATTATTATATCTCCATGTGTGCTTTATTAAGATTCTTCAAATGTATGAACAGGTTGATCGAGTTTTATATTCGTCGGTGGTGTATCCTCATAACTATGGTTTCATCCCTCGCTCATTATGTGAAGATAATGATCCACTGGACGTTTTGATTCTCATGCAGGTAATTTATATCAAACTGGCTATCAAGAAAATTAGATAATACTTGTTAATTTAATTAGTCATATGGTATAGTGATTAATTAAACAAGTGATTTTTCTAGGAGCCAGTACTTCCTGGATGTTTCCTTCGAGCCAGGGCCATTGGATTGATGCCCATGATTGATCAGGTATCTATTGAACTCAAGTTGGAGGAACTCAAGTTTCTTTCAAGATTAAAGCAATAACAACTTTATTTTTTTCCTCTTATTCAGGGAGAGAATGATGATAAGATAATTGCAGTTTGTGCTGATGATCCAGAGTATAAGCACTACACTGATATCAAAGATCTTCCCCCTCATCGCCTCACTGAGATCCGTCGTTTCTTTGAAGATTGAATCCTTTCCAATATTTAGATTTAAGATTGCTTGAGGGTGGTTTATATTATTACATTGTACAAATATTAAATCATTTCTTAACTCATTGCACAGACAAGAAAAATGAGAACAAGAAGGTTGCAGTTAATGATTTTTTACCTGCATCCACTGCTGTTGAAGCCATCCAGTACTCTATGTGAGTACAGCTTAAAGTTACACCAAATTCAAAACTTGTTGGGGGAGTTCCTTAGCTATAATACTGACTTTTCAATCTTTTACTTTATGCAGGGACCTGTATGCCGAGTACATTATGCACACTCTCAGAAAATAGATAAACAGGCTATATCTCAGTAGACTAATCATATCCATCAGTTCGAATAAGTGATATGAACTCGGTTTCATTTCAGCAATTTTGAGGAACATTTAAATTTTGAATCTACTTACTGCAATTTTTGTTTGTTTCTCTCTTACATAACTGTAACACGTTTCTGCAATGGGTTGAAATGAAATGCTCTCTCGTTAATTCAGGCTGAGATTTATCATTGATCCAACCATAAGCGCCCACAGATGACAAAACTGCGATTGAAGTCATAAAAATACAAATAAAACAATTTGATTAGGCTTTCCTTATAGATTGTTTTGGGAGATTTTTTTAATAAGAACATTATTCTCAACATTTAAGCAGACTTAATAGAGAGTATCTTTTTCTTTTTTCAAAATATTCTATAGCTATGAATTATGATCATATTTCCGCACGTCGCTGCAAAACAGTGAATTTTTAATTTATGGTATAGGAACCATTTATGGTAGATTATCAATCCAAACTGGTGATGCAATTTGGGAACAACTCACAGTTGACAGAAGCTACATAAAGACTTTGCTGATGATAAACATAATAATTTAACATTAAAGCTTACAACTTTGAACTCCCTAGATTTCCTTAGACAATGATGAGCAAGAACGGGGTTGCAACAACAATCATCTTTTATGGCCATCAATATCATGAATACCATTTGTTGAGAAGTTCCAAAAGCAGAACAGCGGCAGAGTCCTTGGCCTTTTTGACACTTGGCATTGGCTCTCCTACACATTCATCTGTCCATCCCCTATCTGTTGTGTTCACACGAACAGAAAAGGTAAATCTCTTTGCATGTGCTGGCCCACCTTCACTCACACACCTACAACAACCAAGTTATCAGATAATGGTTCATCTTCATCTTCCTACCAATATTAATTACCAAACATACTATTACTAAACGTCGCTTCATACCTATAGAAGGGCATAGGCCAATTTCTACGCAAGCAGATATCATTCAAGGTTTGCCTGGTGAATGTTTGGCTGCCATTTTTCTTCTTCTTCCCGGTCTCATCACCATTCTCCTTAGCTTCAGCTGTTTCCTTCTGTTTCAAAACTGCAAGTGCATTCCTCGCAGCTAGTTTCTGTGCCATTTTCTTTTGTGGATTCTGAGCAACTCCAACCTGGACACCGTCAATGAAGACTTCCACAGTAGCCAAATTACCACTTCGAGTAGCTTTGTATTCCAAGCCTTCAGCTTGTTGCTGGCATCGCTCTTGTAGCTCCCTCACAGGATGCATTGGGAGTGTCTCTGGAGTGACCATGGGATGCAACAAAGGCCGGAAAGCCTGGGGAAACATAGAATTGGTAATTTATTAGATTAAATCTTCCTTTTCGAAACAAAGTGACAGATTGTTAAGGGGCAAAGTAGGGTCCTTCAATTTGCATATATAATTTTTTTTTCCCACAAGTAAACAAAGAAAGTTGTATTAGGGTAAAAAGAAGATCCAAAAGAATTGATAAACTATCCACAAAAAAGGACAAGTTGCCCTAATCCCCCAAAGAGAGCTCCAAGAAAATATATTAAACTAACCTTCCACACAACTGCAGTATCTCGTCCACTGTCAAGAAAAATTGCACCAGCAATAGATTCTACAATGTCACCAAGAACTTTAGGAGCTTTGCAATCTCCTAAACCGAAGGAGTTGAACCCTGGTTTTGACAATTCATCTTTAACTTCCTTCACAAAGTCCCGAATCTGAAGATAGAAATCAAGAAATGTACATTATGAGCACTTCCATAGCTCAAACACATAAGCACCGTAGCAAAGCTTTGAGTTAGAAAATTATGGTTATGCCATGTATCCATGTTCAAGCAAATTCAAAGGAAAGAGAGAGCAAACCTGTCTTTCAAGGGCACTAGACCCATGCCGAAGGTGTACATGGAGCTTATGCTTAACTGCAACACGAGCAAAGTTTTCATTGTTTACAGCTGCAGCTCGTAAGTCAGTCAAGCGACCCGGAGGTAGATCCGTGTACGAGAAAAACAAGTGCTTAGTGATTAGATGATCTAGGACAGCATCACCAACAAACTCCAATCGCTGGTAACACGATACTCCAGAAGATGGCCTGGAGGCATGAGTAATAGCCTCTACCAAGAGGCCCCGATCTTTAAACTTGATGTTCAAGGCACCTTCTAAGGCATCGAAATCAACACTCCTAAGTATGCTCTCTGGAATGTAGGATGGCCTTATTAGGCAGCCAATCTCTTCAGGATCAGATTCTACCTGAATCCCGATCCATGACATCAGGTGGTTAGCAGCATGCTTCCCACCTTCAACATAATAAACTCCAATCAAAGCTTCAACAACATCTGCCAATGTTTTGCTTGAGAGGACTCTATAAGAACTTGAGTCCCCCTCAATCTCTCCATCTTCCATTTCTTCATCTCCATACTCATCATGATGATGGCCAGTTTGTGGTTTATCCTCAGCAAGTGATTTCTCACGATCAAATAAGGAAGAGTCTCCATCCTTTGTATCCTCATCAAAGACAGGCAGCACCCCAGGAGCAGCCCATCTGGATGGTGCAAAGCGATCTGCTTGGATATATGACTGGAGTCCTTTATTCAGCGCATACTGATAAAGAACCAGGTTACTCACCATCTGTTGTCTCATCCTAGTGAGCTGACCCTCATGTTTCTGGGGATATTTAAGAAACAAAAATCGACTAACCACCCATTTCAGATAAGCATCCCCCAGAAGCTCAGCTCTTTCATAACAGAATGTCTCCTGGCATGAGGCTGCAGTCAAGGCTTCCAAGATCTGTACATAGAAGGGTACACATCAATTAAATATAAGAATCAATTAATTGACAACCGCTCAAGTTGGCCATTGCAATTATTTCTTTACCTTTGAAGCAGGGACTGGATAATTTATTATCTCCTTCAGTTGAACAGCAAGAAGCATACTCTCTACCCTCCTCATTATTGAAGGCAACCTCTGAGCACCTCGAACAAGTGATCCAGGAAGTGGATGAACGAAACAGAGCTCAGGAGGTAGAAAAACATAATATGTTTTATCAAGAGTCTCTTCCATTTCACCTTCTTGTCCTATACAAAAAAACTCCCCAATTTATAGGACTACAAAATAGTACTTGAGCAAACTAATATCAGAGGCAGGATGGCTTTTTACCTTCTGAGTGTTCAAAGCGAGGTGATAGGAGATTCTTACAGTATGAAACACCACGTCCTCTTATTAAAGGTTGTTGCTTATGTATTAACTCAACTCCATACCTGATAATCATAAATAGGAGAGTCAATAGCCCAACACACCCATTATTGTGCAAGAAGAAACAAAAAGCTTCCAATCTATGAGGATTTATGGACTACTGTCAATTAAAGATGTGGGGAACATAGCTTCATTTAAGCCCATATCTACCCCGACAGTAATTAACTATTTCTATCACATATTAAGATAAGTTTTTTCCTTCTTCAAGCACAACATCTGAGGTGCATTTAGGCCGTGCAGCACTTGTTTTAGCAACATGCAAGCCATAGACATGTTCAGCACAAAATATTTTAATTGAAAAAACCAATAAGAGAAAAAGGACAAAGTATCAAAAGACCAAAACAACAAAATGAAAATAGAAACAATACTTTTGCTTGTAGTAATCAGCATATGAACTGTACTCCAGAGGACCAAGATAGCCCTCTTTCCTCGGGAATGAGCTCTCTGCAGTCATCTCATAGCGGATTGACTCCACATAAAACCTTTTCCCTGAGTGAGCAGCCGTTACAATTCTCCCTACCAGAACTTCTGCATCGGCAAAGGAATCAGCCATCATCAATTTTCCTTTGACCATATCCACATTTTGCATTTGCATTTGCATTGTATCTCGATTAGGAACCAACCCAGAAGCTCTCACAATATCAAACTGTGCTACAGCTCCTCTGATACCATATGTAGGATGGGACACCTGTCCAAAAGCCATACCATGACGCAGCTTCCCAAATCCATACTCCCTTCTATCTCCACCAAGTGTTCTTTCATTCGTGCCAAGATAAACATCAGGTCGAGCTCTCTGAAGGGGATTGCTCCATGCATCTGTTTTAATTATTTTTTCGATCATATCCCAGTCAATCTCATCTAAAGGATCTACAGACTTATCGCTAACAATGGGGACAAACAAGTATGCCTTTGCGGGATCCCACGGAGTGGTGGAAGGTTCAACATCCACATCCAGTACAATGCTCATCAATCTTACATGAAATTTTTTAAGGGATGCCAGCTGCACAAGAGCCAATTTAGGAATTATACATGAGCACCAGAAGCAAGATCTTAAAGTAAAAGTAAATTGTAATCTAGTCATTAAAAAAATTTCAATCGACTATCAACCTGACTTTCAGTAACATCTATTAAACCCCTGAAGACAAGTGATGCCTCCGTGATCATGGCACGGGCGATAAATAGATCCATCGACATCGATAACACCTATTAACAACAAATGTGGTTAAAACAAATAAATTTAATTAATATCTATCTAGGCTGGCACTGAAATGAATTTGAATACCTCTGCATCCAGCTCATTGCTGAATACTACCGCAAATTCTGAAGCCTGAGTTAAGAAAGGATCTTTTGAAAAGCCTCTGTTCTCACATTTGACAGCATACATATACAAATGAAACAATTTGGAGTCACTGCAACCGTCTCTTCCAGATAAGATCCATTCTCCCTGGGGAAAGAAGTTTCAGTGCAAGTGAGCTAGATAAGAACCAACTTGTGACATGAAATCTCAACTTGTTAGTATCACAAGAGACATATTGCATGCCATATCTCTAATTTTTATAATAAGAGACATTAATCATACTATGCATAACAAGGAGGTTTAACCATAGTTGCTAGTATCATGAGAGAGAGAGGGAGAGAGCGAAGCATCACCTAAAGAAGTATATTTGCTATTAAGCAAATATGTACAAAAGTTACAGTTATGAATAAATCCTTGAACTCAAGACCTACCATATATCACACTTCACATCTACTCCAATTGACAATTATATAAGCAAAACAACATAAAGTCACAAGGTTACAGGTTTCAAATAATAGAAGAGAATCGCAATTGGAAAAGTTGAAGCACTTGTTTCCAATGATATTTTTGTAGAGGTCTATACTTGGATTTGTAATGGTAGACCTCTTGCCACTTCTGCTTTTAAAGTTCTCTTTTCTAAATAAAATATTTAACTAATTGGTTTGCCTGTAAGCCTAATTCCTAACAAT